AGATATGCTGGGAGAGTTGCTCTAGGTGAATGGAACAAGAAAGCTGGGGTTAGAGATGCAATGTAATTGCTTCTAAAATACTTTGAAGGTGAACTTTTGTGTCCTTGCCAATTATTACATTTTTCAAAATTTTGAAGATGAGTAAAAAGGAAAAAAAAAATAAAAAATAAATGAAAATGTAGCATGAATTTAATTTTTAGCTTCTTTAAGGTTTAAAAGTTATTATAAGATTTTGAGACTTAAGAGAAATCTTAAATTTAGAGGTGAGATTTCATATAATTTTTTTTAATATATATGAAATCTCACCAAATCTTAAAAAGTCTCAGTAACAAATAAGTTAAATAACTCATAATTTGTTAAAACGTTTTAAAATTTAAAATGAACACTTCATGATTTTGGAACTTTCAAGTCCTATTTAATCTTTAAAGTCACAACAAATCTTTAAGAATACTAAATGAATATAGCACCTTCATGTTTCCTCTAAAATTATGTATTATTTGCCAAGTCTCCTTAACTCATTAAAATATTACTTTGTTGATATTATTTCTTTTCATTTTTGTATATTAATTATTTTCTACATTTTCTATGCTTAGCTTGTTGTTTATCATCAATTATCTAACTTCATATACTATATAATTGGGAAAATAACAACTATAACAATGAAAAAAAAAAAAAAAGATATCCAACCTTAAATGGTTTTTAGTACTAAATGTAAGAATATATATAAGAAAATACTATATTCAATATCCATTTTTTTTATATATATATATATTCAATATCCACTTAGCAAACAATGATCGATAGTTGATACTAGGCTATGTTTAGTAAAACTAAATGATAGTTGATAAGTTAGCTTATAATTTATCAGTAATTTTTTGAGTTTATAGCTTATATCTTATAGCTGAAAAGCTACCTTATATGATAAAAATGTTTGGTAAAATTAGCTGACAAGCTAGCTAAAATAAAAATTTCAACGCGCTTATCTGAAAAGATACCTAAAGAAACTTATAAAATAAGCTCGAGATAAAAAAAAAAAAACTCGTCATACCAAAATAAAACTTATTTGAATACAGAACCAAATAAGATATAAACTAACTTATTTGTCTACTAAACATAACCTAAGACTATCTAACCTTACATAGAAAATAAATCCGTAAAGGACAATGCTACACGTACCGCAGCTTGTACCGCAGGGTTTACACTTTGGTTGAAAAACGTATTCTCAGAATACGTTTTTCAAATAATTTAATTGAAGAAAATGTATTCTCAGAATACGTTTTCAATGAAGGGTACACCATGCGGTACAACCCCCGCGGTACAAATAGCATTTTCCATCCGTAAAACTAGTCATACATGTTTTTTTTTTTTTAATCATAAAGTCATAAGCAATAAAACTTAATTATAATAAATTATATCATAAAAGGCTCTGCGACTT